ACTGAGATTCTAGTTATGTTCTTACTTCTTAATTGTAATACTGTTACTGAAACTACCATGACGAGGAGGGGAACATAAGATAAGGCTTGTGTTTTAGACAAGGTATATGTAAAGACCAAAAACCCAAAAATGACAGATTTTTTCCAGATATTCTGACGGCTGTAAAGGAACTTTTCGTTATTATAGATTTAAGAGGGGAATTTTGGGTTGGTTCAACAAATGCTATCAAATTATTGTTAGTAATTTCTCTTAATTGACGCTAATATATTTCAACTTGAATTAAGCTTCTTACATATAGTTCAGCACTAACACAGTTCATATATACTCCCTGGAGATTGTATCCTTGCTTCTAACAGGTTAATTTTTTCTTAGACGCCAATGCTTGAATTAGTGTCAACAAGACTGACCCTAAGTAAATATGACTTTACACAGTTTCACAAGACATGTCCATAACAATCCAATCTGATTTTACGAGAAGCAGAGTGGGTTTGTTTGAATTGAAGCAAATTTTGCAATGGCGGGAAGTTGTGGGCCTGATCAAGTGTTCAGGACCACTTGGAAACGGATCAAATGTGCAAACCTGCAATCAGGGTCGGAGTGGGTATATGCTGTGCCGTCAAACGTAGCGACTGTCTCCAGAGGATCCTGCACAAAGCAGGACCGGCCTGCGAAGACAAAAAGCGATTAGATGCATTATCAAATGAGTAAATTCTCTTTCATTTATAACTGTTGTACCTATTTCAGTAACAAGTAAAGACTCACAATCGCCGTTCATGTAGTTCTCATTGGTCCATTGGCCATCCACGCATCTCACAGCTATACAGTGGTCGTCGTCAGTAAGCAGGTGGCCGTTCTCATACAGCTCACCACCCAGGCTGCAGCCTGGAGGAGGGGAGATTGGGAAAAGAAGGTTACAATATAATTCTCCCAAGAGGACATGGAATGATGCGAAAGTTTGACACAAAATTATATTTTACGGATCTGATACGTGCAGCTGCAGTTGTCCACGGAATCCTCCACTATAGCGCCCGCGATATAGGGTGCTTCAGTTATGTTCTGCATCTGGCAAGTGAGCTTCAAGCACTTTTCCGGATAGTCTGCGATCACCGCACCGAAGTCCACTGTGGTGTTGCCATAACAACATCCTAGAAATGGACACATAAATAAGTTTGCACATACATTGCACATGCTTTTCAGAAGGAAATCAGAGATAAATCTTGCATAGATTAAATGAGAATTATTCACAGAATTTGTGATACACAAAATTTGCAAAATCATCACTAAGTGAATGGCAATTTATATAATACTATCATGATAAAAGCAATGCCAGTTCAGCAATACTCATATTGATGACAAAAAGAGATATAATGTACCAAGAATAAAATGACAATAATTTTATATTTCATTTATATTCAGAGACCTGTTGGAGGGCAGATAGGGACGCAGTGGTAGTCTTTGACACACTCGAAGAAGTCTCCAGTCCCTGGCTCAATCCCACAGCATGCAAGCGCTCCTTCGCAGTCCGGAACAACTTCCGCTGCAGAGAGCAATTCTTTGAATGCTGCAGAGCTTCACTTTTTATCAAGAATCACACAGAAAACTAATTCTGCGATTCCTTATAGCTATCAAAATTAATTTAGCAACTGCTCTGGAATGGACATGCAGCGTGGCACTTTACCTTTGGCGCAGCATTTGCAACCTGTTCCTCTGCAGCCTCTCCTGATCTCCACCTCATCGTCATCGCAATCGCTAGTTATTTTACAGACGCCCTTCTGCTTCTTACATTTTCTAGTGCTGGCACAGGCTGAAAAAACATAGTGCTTCGGTGAACCGTTTCAGGACTGTCGAGATATCCAAAATATATGCCCAATGTACACATACTATAAAGATCAGAGTTAAGTACCAGAAATGATGTTATGTACAGACGGGAAATCACATAATGCCGAAAATCATGCAACTGAAAACCATGAGTTCAACTAAAGATAGGTGTCATTAATATAAACAAAGATGCGCAGTGGAAACTTACTTGGACAGGGGCACATTGGGCAGCAACCATGCAAGTTACAACACTCGTAAAACTCTTCGGTTCCAACAACGAGGTCACAGCACTCCTGCCCCTCTTCACCTGTTACGTGGTTATTGCGGAAAGAAAAGCAAAGAGGGAGGATATGATTAGAAAAAGTATTTAGCTCATTAAATCACTATATACAACATCCGTCTCTCCTTATAATTCCTTTCATTCCTGAAAACAGTTCGTTCTGCTTACATTCTGAGAACATTAAGCAAGTCCCAGGAGTAGGACATGCTGTGGTAGAAGGCTCAGATGTGGTGGAAGGCTGAGGCGTGGTGGTAGGTGAATCTTTTTCTGGAAAAGGAGGGAATGGGAAAGGGAAAGGGAAAGGATATGGAAATCCGCCTCCTCCATAATATCCTCCACCTCCTCCATAATGTTCTCCACTTCCTCCACCTCCACCATATTGTTCTCCACTTCCTCCACCTCCTCCAAAAACTTCTCCACTTTCTCCATGATGTCCTCCGCCTCCATAATATCCGCCTCCTCCTCCATGATATCCGCCTCCTCCTCCATGATATCCGCCTCCTCCTCCATAATATCCGCCTCCTCCTCCATATTGTCCTCCATAATAACCACCCATTTCTCCCGAATGGTGGCGGCCGTGATCAGTCTTTCCTGAAGCAGTCACGAAAGTTCTTTACTCAAAAAATGGAGATGCAATAACACATTATGCATTAGACACAGTTTTAAAAGAATGATGATAGAACGAACGCAAGCAGGGCTCACTTTTGGGACTGGCAGCAGCTGCCACTGATGCCAGCAGCAACAGAAGAGACACGATACGTCTGGATATTTCCATCATTCCCGACTGCAAATAGATGTAAGCAAAAAAATCTTTCTGAAATAATGTATATAATCTCTGAATGCTTCATTAACTCTAACAAAAGATACCCAGCAATTGATATAATTTCCCCAAAACACACTCGCAGTGCGCTCACACATGTGCATGCACACACGGAGATAACCATACTTACATATGCAAATAGTTAACCCTTTTATAATGAGATGTATTCTATATTAATATAGGTATATGGCTGTCCTTCATGACAAGGATTCAAACCCACTCAGTCTTATTTGCCATCATCATCAATGGAGCTGACCCCAACGGGGGCACTTAGCTTCAGTCACCCTTTGCTTCCAGCCACGGGAGTCCCTCATGGCGAGCCGCCAGGTAGGTACTCGGCCCATCTCTAGCTCATTACGACAGTTCTGGTCAAGCTGTCCAAACCATGATTTCCTAGGTCGTCCCAGGGGCCTCCTCCATGCAGGATTGTCTCTTGAAAAGACAACTCACGATGGCATTCCACAACGACTCGAAGGGCTAGGACAGTTTATTGTGGACTTACCAGGAGTGAATCCAGACTATTCCTGTCTTTGGTGCCTTAGCAGGTGGTCACTGACTCATTTCAGATTTTTGACACCAAAATAGCTGTTACAGTCCCAACAGTTCCCTTTCTCCTTGCAGAGAAGGTTAACCACGCTCCTCGGCAGGTCATGGGGAATGGAACTGAACTGCCAGATGGCAGCCCTGTTCCATAGGTTTACCCCTAGTCTATAGCAGCTCAGCAGGATATCGCATATGCCTGCAGCTTTCCCACCATTTAGCTTAGAATTTGCCTCCTTAACTGCAGTCAGGGTAAAAGGTTCCTCACTGATGGGTGGGTCTGGTACAAGGATTGTGACACCACTTGCTTCCAGACTAACTGATGGAAGGTCTACCTGATACAGTTACACAAAATACTCAGCCCAACGTTCACAAGCCCCAGCATGATCTGAGATGATCTGTCCATCCACTGAGCGGACTGCAGTCATCTATGAGGAGGGCTTAGAGTTCTGTTTTCTCTGGGCTTGGCAGGCAGGACGAAAGTCATTAACTAGGAAATGGTCTTCTGCCTCCTCAGCAAGATTCCTGGTAAATTGTTCGTTATCCCTTCTCAGCAGAGTCCGAGCCCTGCGCACCAAGTGTGTCATGCCATATGATACACATCTGTGGACTGCAGTGTCTGCCTTGTCCTTGAGCGTTCGCTGATCAGAGATTGCTGCGGCAAACCTCCGGGCCACTCATCTACTCATGAAGGGGAGAGAGAGAGAGAGAGTGTGTGTGTGTACATATGTATTATGCATATTTTGTAATTTTATTACACATCTGTCCAGAAGCTGTGTCCATCTTCAGCAGCAAGGAGGTTGTTTTGCATATAAAGAAACTGCAGAAGTACGGGACGTTCGGTGTGTGAGAGTGATACATTTTGGCCAGAAAGGCCAAAATGCCCGATACTGCTGATACTCCACCACGAAACTTGAAATTGGCGTGCGGCGTGCAGAAAGGCCTATGATAGCACATATTCCTGTGTTCAGATTTTTTTTTTAATGAGTTTGCACATAAAAATTAATGCATTAGCACTTTAGAAATTATATTAAAAATGTGAAAATAAGATCGCATTCTGGATGCAGCTATTCATGGTTTCTTTTGTTTTAAAGCAAATGTAAACTTGACTGAAACAAATGACACACCCTAGAACACGATAGGCACTAACTATGGCTTACATAATTCTGATATATAAATTTTGTGACACAGACCTTGTCCAGACAGGTTAAATACTCAGAGGAACAGTTATGGTGATCGTCTGGCAATGGCGGCAAATTAGATGATTCCTGTCACGAATATAAACATTCGGTTTGTAGTCTACTTCTGTAAGCAATACGGAAACTGGTGGTCTGGCAATGAAATGATGGCTATGTGTCAGTGCTGTATACTTGTTCTCACTGGTTTTATTTAATTTATATTTGCCAAATATACTAAATAATGAAATTTAGTATTGTCCTTGACTTCGACTAGAGTTTAACACATCCCTTCTCATGTGCTAATAACATATATATAAGAAATTAATTATCAGTTATTTTCTTATCTTCCCAATTTTACATAAAGAAGAAAAAGACTGCAAACCGTTAACACATTCAGCATAAATAATTGGGTTGCGAGGCGAATATTGTACGAATATATGTATATACTGATTATGCATTAACCTGTATGTTATATTTTTGTAGAACGCAAAAAGGTTCAGATATCAGGGTTCTTGATCGTATAACATATTACTTGGATATTTTCTTTGATGATAAAGTAAAAGTACGTGACTAAAAGTATATATGACAGGAGGAATGGATTTACATTTTGTTCCCAATAAAAAAAGAATTCGTTAGAACTGGAATCCTAAGATGACTTTAGATGACTTTCAGGAAATTACAGTGCTATAGTTTTCATTTTCATAATTCAGGTGTTGACTCACTTTTGGGTGATTAACAGGAAAGGCAGCAAAGCAGCCTAAATTACCCTTTTTTCTAG